ATCGCATAGACGCTCAAGTAATGCTTGCTCTCCTGGCTGACGGGAGACCTTGGCGGGCTGGGGGAGGTCGGCAGGGGCTCGAATCAGAACCTCCCTGAAGGCCGGGGCTTCAGTGGGCGACTCTCCAATGTTACTCCAACACGAGAATGGGAGGAGCTCCCTGCCAGCCCCCAGAGCCTACGGCCCCTTCCGTCTGTCCCCAGTTGCAGAGTTGGGCCAAAGAAATGCTCTGGTCTGGGGGACGGCAGATGCTGAGCACCGCTTGCCCTGGCCTTGGCTTGGGTGCCATCTCCACAGACTCAGGCCACCTGAAGCTGGTGTTAAGGAGGATTCCGAGGGCCATTGGGGCTGACTTGCCTGCCCTTGGCAAAGACAGAGGTGAGTGGCCCCTATGCGGGTGTCTGCTGTGGCCCTGCTCACCAGGGCAGAAGTAGTGTACTTAACTTCCACGGGACTTGTTCCAACATTGTTTTTGACTAAGTTCCATCCAGCTCAGAGCTCAGAACCCATCGAGTATGTGCTGTGACATCCACAATCCCATGCCCAGGATTGTGGGCGGGGACGCCCGCCACAGCTGGCCCAGTGTGAATGCGGACAGCACATCCTGCGGCACACCCAGCTGACAGCCTTCCTAGGATAGGCGTTGACGAATGGGAAGGGGTTTGCTGTTACGGCAGAGACAAACCCTCCTAGTGTTCCCAAGTGTGCCACAGACCACACCACCTCCAACCTGCCGTCCGCCAGACTGGAAACAGGTCTGAGCTCAGCTCAGCATCACCTGGCGGGGCAGCTGGCGCTGGGTCCACTCAGTGACTGTGCCCACATGGGGCAGGCAGGGTGGAGAATGCAGGGTGGCCATGGGCAGGAGAGAGCCAACGGCCCTGGCACAGCCTTGCCCAGCCTCCACGTCCCTACTGAGTGGGTGCCTGGGGACTGAAAGCTCTCTGCAGTGGAAGATGCTTTTCCCACAATGCAGTTTTGCCTGAGCATCTTTTTTTCTACACGGTGTTGTATTTAAGAATTGGTGAGGATTTGCTTCCTGAGATGAGGACATCTGCTGACCTGAGTTAAGGATGCACTGCCTGTAATGGGATCTGGTCATGCCCACTCCAGTCACAAATGACCATGAGGAACACACAGGTATTGGGAGAACCCACCACCCAAGCGGCCTGGACCTTGGGCATCTGGAGTGGCTGCAGCACGGAACCCCCACGCAGCCCCTAAGGAGCAGGGGGCCTCCCTCTTACTCAGCAGGACTCTACTCCTCTGTGTTCCCCTTCCTCCTGTGCCTTCTGCACACACCTTGCTCCTGGTTTGGAGACCACTGGATCCGTTTGGCAGTGTGAGAACCCCACCCACGTGTCACTCCACCTTGGACTTTGTATTTTGAGTGAAAATAAAAACCTTCAGGTGTGGACTTTCAGGCAATTGTACAAGCATGGCCAAAGGCTTCTGCTACTGCCCACACCTGCTGCTTCTGAGCAGGGTCCAAGGTCACCAGCAAGCAGCAGGGAAGGGCTGCTGAACCCAAATCGAGGATTCTCCTGGGGTGCAGGGGCTACCTGGCCCAGGATGGTCCACTCTCTGTAAGTGGGCTTTCGAGGCCCCCACGAACCCTCCATCTACTGTAGGCCCTGGTCCTGGGAGTGGCCACCCCACTGAGCAAAGCTGAGGGTCCAAGGACCACGTGGTCCTTGGAGTGGACAGACGTGGCCAGAGTCTCCAATGCAGCCCCATCTCCATTAGGAAATTGTCCTCAAAGCAAGCTCTGCAGTCACTGCGCAGGAGGAGGAGTGCTTGCAGGTGGTCTCACTGTGTTGGGAGGAGGCTCTAGGGATGGGGCGTACTGCCACCCCTGCCCTCTAAGACTGCAGCCCAGAAGGGGGCCTGTTCATAACCGTGTGAGCGGCTTGCAGTAGTGGAGCTTCTCCCCCAGATCCTTGTCTGGAGCTGAACCAAGGAGAGGTTCCTGCCCAGGGGTGAGCAGGCCTCCAAGCCTGCCCAGCCCCACCCCTGTGGGGGCCCCACAGGCAGCACTGCCTGCCCTCTCTGTGCCCAGGCCACTTGTGAGCCTCCCTCAGATCAACCCGGGGATTGGCTCATCACCTGGGGTCTCCTTTCTGCATCTGGTGAGAAGGGAATGCAGGAAATGGGTAGTTATCCACGCAGCACTGTGCTCGCACAGAGTGGTTCTCTGAGGAGTGGGGCCCTGCCTGACCCTTTTATTGGGCCAGCGGGTGGGGCAACTCCCTTCCTGTCCAGACTTCTGACACTGGAGCACCAGAGGAGGCTTACCCGTTCCTGCACAGGGGCTCCCCCCATTTCCTGCTGAGCCGGTCGTCACGGTGTGCCCTCTGCCACGAAGGGTAAACCTGTCCTGTCCCAGAGCGAGATCAGGATGCAGGGTGGGCAGGAGCTGGCCGCGGCCAGGGGGCTGCAGGAGCCACTAGGTGACAGTGACACAAACCACATGCCCTGGTCTTTATTTCCAGCTGATGGAGGGGTGTCCAGTGACCACATAAGCAGAGTGGCACTTAGATGGAGTCCCTACAAATGGACTTACCTCTGTGCCATTCCCAGCACAGGCTATGCACAGAGTGATGCTCTCAGTCATACCTAAATGGGGTCTTAGACCTAAACACAGTATTAGAATGAAATCTGCCCCAGAAGCCTGGCCAGTGTGGGATCCACCAGTCCACATGCCCCAGCAGTCAGCACCCCATGAGCTCTGCAGACTCTGTGCCAACCTGTGTGAGTGCCAGAAAGAACTTTGCCGAATTAGGTGGATTCCAAATGCTGTTCTGGGAAGTCACTGTGTCATGCATCTCTTGCTGAGTGCCTGAGTAGTGGGTCCGCAGGAGCTCTGGTGGGTGTGCAAGGGGCTATGAGGCCCAGCCGATGCCAGGGGGTGGAGAAAGCCTTCCCTGAAGAGGTGACATCTCTGGCAGGAACTGAGGAAGATTGGACTGGCCCGCAGATATGGGAGAGGCATCACTAGGAGCAACTCGTGTAAAGGCTAAAGTCACCGAGGCCTGAGGGACCTTGGCCCACCCATTGGAGAAGTTCCGGGAACAGGAAAGCAACCAGTGTCCAGAGGAGAGTGGTTGACGAGGCCCAGAGAGGTCTCTCCAAGAAACCGAATTCACGTTGGTGATGATCCAGCCAGTGGGACTGTCCCTCTGTCACAGACAGGACAGCAATCATCAGTAAGAGCAGCCCCGTCTAGCACGTGGGAAAGCCCTGTGCCATCAGGGTAGCTGGGCACAGACGCCATCTGAGGATTACCGTGCAGCATACACCATCAGAGACCTGGATGCCCATGGTCATCTTTCCTCGTGGGCTGGTGGAGTCTGGCGGGAATCCTGAGGTGTGGGTGGTGGGGAGGTCTGGGAACTGGCACAGACTGGAGGCTACAATCGTCACAGATGCTGGGTCCCCATGAAGGGACTTGCTCACTCAGAATCCAGGCTGCTTCCCCTGCCCTGGACCTGTCTCCAGACTCCCGGAGGCCTTACCAGCCACAGTCTGTGCTTGATAACACGTGTCTCTGGGATCACAGAGTCTGAACCGACGAACGGTGGCACAGGTGCAGTATTAACCGTGCTATTCCTTCCAGTGGAGAAGGAAATTCTGAACATCCAGCCCCCGCCCCATCTGGGCTGTGCACTGCAAACGAACACGTGGCCAGCGCACATCCCCTCATCCAGAATTCAGAAAACCTGTCCAAGCTCTCTCAGGGCCTTCGTTCCCCACAGGGGAGCTGCTGCTGAAATGTCATGCAGCGGCCTCAGTGCTGGGGAGGCCGGGCAGGTCCCGCCCTTCTGAGTGTGAGGAACACTAGCTGCTGTCCCCTCCTGACCGCAGATCCTCCCACTGCCACTCTGCGGGGCCGGGCAGGTGCAGAGGCAGTGGCACGCCTGTCAGGAGCAGGGCCGTCAGGGTGCGTGGCTGCTCCAGAGAGTGTGCCCAACTGGGTCACCTGTTTACTCTGGCTTGTTTGCAAGACCAGAAGAGCTGGACTTCAGGCTGCTCCGTGCAGGTAGCGTTTTGCTGCCTCCAGGGTGATGTTCGGGGTGGAAGAGCTCCCTGACCGGTTTCTCCAGGCTGTTTACAGCCTGGGCCTCCTACTGGACCTCCTACTGGGCGTGGGAGAATCCGCGAGTGGTCAACACGGGTCCTGAGTCTCTACAGAAATGCTGCTAACGCCCCAGAATGCAAACTCTGCCGTTCAGTGGGGGTCTGGCTGTGAAGCACACGATCACTGGTGTGGCACTGAGGCTGGCATCCCAGCTTCACACACTCTGCAGGGACATCTGGTTGCCCGACCCCAGGCTCCCCAGAGTCTCAAAAAACCTCCTTGCTTCCCATCAGTCTCCAGGGTGCAGCTCGGGCTACTGCTGGGTCGCCCCCAGGCCCCTGAGGTGGCCCTGCTGCCTCTCCTGTCTGCAACAGCTGCAATCTGGCTCAGGGACCCCTGGGCACCACTCGGCACCGACAGGTGGGGGCCCCTTGTGCGGGGTAGGCCTCCTCATGTCCCTGTGTATGTATGGAGGCTGCAGATGCTGCGCCACGGCCAGGTCTCCCTGCTGACCTGCAGGCCTCGGCTGGGCCACAGTGGCTGAGCACGTGCCCAGCCACCCCTGGGGCGCCGGCAGGGGCGGGGACCATGTGCTCCCGGGGGCTGCACGCCAGGCACTGCTCACGGGTGGCTCGTCCTAGTTCCCCGCCTTCACATCCCTGCGCCCTTCTGCCTGCACATCCGTCCATCCCTCCTCCCACCTGCCTGCCTCCTCTCTGCCTCATGCCGCATCTTAAATATTGATGAACCACCCAGCACCTAGCTTTCTGTGTGCTGAGAAACAAAGGTTTCTGTGCTTTGGAAACTCAAATCCCTTTTTCCGAGCACGTGACCGCTGGTCCTGTCAGGTGTTCACGGATGTGCGTGGCTGTGTGAGGTGGTTCCCACCAAATGACATGGTGTCTATCTGCTCTCCCTGCAGATGAAATCATGCACCAGGACATCACACCGCTCTGTGCCGCGGACATCCAGGACCAGCTGAAGAAACGCTTTGCATATCTGTCTGGTGAGCGCCGGGCGGGCAGGCAGGAGGGAGGGTCTGTGCCAGGCAGTAGGTACCTCTCAGTTTCCTGTGATGATGTGGGCCTGGTCCGGGTGGTAGAACCAGGGACAAGGCCTACAGCACGGCCTGCTCTGGATTTCACCGAGGGCCAGGAGAGGCTATGTGATGCCTGTGGTGGGGGTAGGTGGCTTGGGGCCATAGAAGAGCCAGCTGGAGGTCACTTGGGGTCCTGAGAGGGACAGAGCCCAAGTGATCCTGCCTGCGGTGTCCAGAACATTACTGCACTGGGTGAAGTAGGAACAGGGCAAAGCTGACCTCATTCTTGCAGTGTCCAGCCGCTGGGAGCCTCCCCAACAGAGCACACCTAGCCTCTGCAGAGAAGGCCCCAGAGTGCAGCAGCCTGCCTTGGGGTCCCAATTGCCAGACCCTCTGCGGCTGCACCCTCTCCTCAGGACCAAGTGTTACCTCCACCCCGTGAGATCACCTGCTGTCCCGTCTGGCCAGGGTGTGCAACCCCAGCCACCAGACAGTGCCAGAGTGTGGTGGGTGCTAAGGGTGTGAGAGCACCTGAGTGGGCCACCCTCACGGCTATGCGGGTGCCCCATTGGGACAAAACCACCTATCACAGGCTCCTCTTTGTAGGCAAGTAGCCCCACTCACAGGCGGCCCTTCCCCCTCCTGAGCCCCAAGACTAGCCCTCACCCCCAGGGGCTGCCCTGGCCTTTCTCCAGCTCTCCTGCCTGTGCCCTGGGCTGGAAGCCTGACATGTGGCCCAGAGTTCAGGGGCCACAGCGGGAACCCAAGGTTCTCAGCCGTACAGAGTGGGGAGCTCAGGGGGCGCTTATCAACAGGAGGGCGCATCCGTCACTGTGGGGGTGCTGCCTCGGAGGCTGAGGCCCTGTGCGGGCTCCTGCCACCTGCCCGCCCTGCCCCTTGAGGACCCCAAAGCCCCAGGTGTGATGCATAGTGACCCAGACTCATGACCTTGACCTTCCTCTAGGTGGTAATCCCACCCTCCTGGCCTTACCTGGGGAGGAAGCAGAGCCCCAGGATGGCCCTAAGGCTCCCCTCCACACTGCTTTTCTATTATGCAAATGCCAGCCAATAGCTCAGGCAGGGATGTTGCAGATGTGAGGAGGGTCCCTCCCCGTGGGCCTGACCTAGCCTTACCTTGCCCACTGCTTCTCATAGGGCTCCTTCACACAGGGATCTGGCTGAGTGACAGTGACGAGAGGATCCATCCCAAGGCAGGTTCCCCCCCCCTTACACCCCACCGGGCACCTCCAGCACCTCCCACAGTGAATACCATGAATATCTGCCCCAGTTCAGGGCACCCGACTGCATCCCGCCACCAGCACCTCCACGGTGTGTGGGTGCTCAGCCCCTCGCCCCTGCAGACTTACACAGACTAAGGTTTTCAGCATAATTCCATCAACTTCATCAGACTTGGTGCTTTTGGACTTTGCTGTAAATCAGTGAGAAACTCGAGGACACACCTGAGAAACACTGGGAGGTCCCCTGGGGCCTGAGCCGCGGGGATTGGGGGGGCTGCCCGGATGCTCTCCAGTGAGGTCCAGGATGTGGTGAGCCCACGCTCACTGCTCAGGCTGCCCCCAAGCTTAGGGAGGTCCAGACAACCCTTTTATTGATTTATCGTTAATTCCATAGGTGGGAATTCAGAAAGAGCCTTCCTGTGGTTCTTTTGCCCCATGTGGCACTGGCTGGTTGGAGTCAGAGTGCTGCACTCACACACGTGGCATCTCTGGTTCCCTGCACGAAGCCAGCCGCTCCCTCCCCAGCTGGTTGGGCTCCCTGGCATGTGGTGGCCACAAGGCTGCTGCTCCCTGGATGGCCAGCATCCACAAAGGAGCTCTGAGCTGGGAGGATGGACATTGCTGTGTCCTGCGGCCCAGCCTCAAGAGTTTCCCAGCATCACTTGTGCCACATCCAACAGGCCAGACAGGTGGTCGAGGCAGGGGGAGACAGGCCATCCATCAAGGGGGCCATCTCCAGCCGCCCCAGCATGCTGGCTAGCAGATAGACTCTAAGCTGGGCCTGGTGACTCCTCGGTGTTCTTGGCCTCTGGCCTGTCCACTGCTTCTCCCATTGTCTGTGGGACAACTCAGACCCCATGTGGCCCAGAGCAAACCCAGCCTCCTCTTCAAGATCATCTTCCCAGGTCCTGGGCCCACACCCAACTCTTCCTTGCTGTGTCTCGCCTCAGAAAAGTCCCCCTGGTCCCCCTCCCCTGCCCAGTGCCCTCCCCTCTCACGCTGCCAAAGTCATGGCCCCCTCTGGTCCCAGTTGTCTGAGGGGGTGGGTCACAGACCACGCAGAGCCTCAGGAGGTCGGCTAGGGTGGGAGACCCACTGTTGTGCAGGGTTTAAAGTGGCTGTCATCCTTTACAAAACACAGAAAACTACTTCTCAGCATTAGCAAGCAAATGGGATGCCTGTGGGAGGAGGCGGCACCATCTCAATGGTGTGCAGGAACCTAGGGAACGTTTGGGAGGAAAAGTGCCGCATATTCGGGTGGCTGCCCCATGAGGACAAGATAATAGGGGATTGTTGGAACACATGTCACTCTTGTACACGCCAAGGGTTTCCCTGAAAAGCACACATTTCTTCCCTAATGAGCAAGCCCAGCTGCGACAAGACGCCATCCATTCTGGGTGGACGCAGGCACTAAGCGCAGCCTCGCTCTCTCCCCAGGTGGGCGGGGGCAGGACGGCAGCCCCGTCATCACCTTCCCAGACTACCCGGCCTTCAGCGACGTCCCCGACAAGGAGTTCCAGAATGTCATGACCTACCTCACCAGTATCCCCAGGTGCGTGCTGCTGGGCCTCGAGGCTATCCAACAAGGAGGTAGTGCGGAGGGGGGGGGGAGGGCATGTTGATAGGGGGGAGCTTGCTTCTTGTCTCATGAGTAGAAGAATGAAAAGTGATAGAAATGTATTAAGCAGAGATGAAGAAAGCTCTCAAAAGTGAGAGGGGTCCCAGCAGGGTTGCCACTGAGGCCTTTTACCTTCTTTTATAGGAAACTGACCAGGGAACCTGGTAAATTTCTTGTCCCAATCGGTGTATTTGTAAATATCATGTCTATGTTTAGGACAAACATGGTGCACTTGGAACAAACGAGTGTTTCTTTGTAAATGACATGAGCACAAACAAGGGTTCCCTTCTCTCTGGTCACTGTCTCCCCCATAACATTTCTCTGCATCTGGGATTTCTGTGATCACTTAGTAGCCATTAAAGGGGGAGACTCCCTAACATTTTGGAGCCAGGGAGCCGGGTTTATTTTTCCTGTTTGTACTGTCTCATCTCAGTTTTCTTGGGATGGGTAGGAGCCTGACTCTGGGGCCTTTCCCTGCCTAGCCCCATCTGTCCCTGACTCATTCCTACATCGATGGCCCCACAGAGCAGGTGGGGTCCGGGGCCAACAGAGCCTGGGGGACCTCGCTCACAGCATCCAGCCCTTCGTTACACAGACAGGGCCACTGTGAGCTGCAGGCCTTCTGCTCCATGAGGGAAGACCCTTGGGGGCTCCGGCCTGACCTGCCATGCCCCTCATGCCCTTCACGTGGGGAGAACAGACCCCAGAGGCAGCTCCCCCATCGGGGGTTCTGTTTTATTTTGAGCAGAGCTGGACCCCACGTTCCAGAAAGGCAGGGTTACACCCTGATTAGTTTCCCAGCCACACCGGGGCGTCCCATGGATCCTTGAGCCGAGGGGGTTACCTGAAAAAGGGGAGGACGTGGACCTCACACCCTGATGAGCAATAGCCGCCGCACACTGGGTCAGGACAGCCTCGAGGGTGACCTCGTCTCTCCAGTGACGCAGTGGAGAAGCTCAGCCTCCCGCGTCCCCAGGACGCCATCCTCACTCCTCAGTGTCCATAAGGTTCTGAATTTGCGTAATTTAGAGCACCGTGAATTGATCTAATCTGAAAACAGACCAAAACGGCAAGTTCTATCAGCAGGTTCCTGTCATATGACAACAGCCTTCACCAATCAGTGCTGGGGGTTGTAGATCCTTCTAGTACCCTGGGATGGGAGCGGGGAGCCCTCCTCAGGGATCTGGGTGCTGAGTGGTCACCTGGCAGGACAAAGATGGGGTCGTGGCCTGGGTCACACAGGGTCCACCATTCTTTCGTTCTGAGCACCGGGCTCCGGGTGGCTGAGTGGAGGTGGAGGGACCACAGGCAGCCCGGGAGCCTAGCAGCCTTCCTTAGGGCCCCTGGGCCGACTGTGCACCCTCGAGGGGCTTCCGGGGGGCGGAGGGGGCTGCAGTACCTCTGAGAGTCTCCGTTCCTTGTCCCTGGGCCTTGGGGTCAGAGACGGAATGGCAGTTGTCAGGCCCACTCTGCCCCCTAGGCCACCAGCCATGAGTGCAGGGACAGTGCCGTGAAGTGGTGGGAAGATGCGGGCTCCCGGTGGTCAGGCACCAAGAGGCATCCTTGGGAAGGGACGTGGGTTCAGGGACATGTGGGGTACCCAGGATGGTAACTCCAGTCCCCCATGTGCATAGCAGTGGGTGTGGAATGCTGTGGGAGCCCGCAAGCAGGGCTTGCCGCTGACCGTGAATGCCCATGTGGTCTCTGGTCTGGGTGCGGCCACCTGAGTCCAGGAGAGGCCGTGGCCAGCCCAAGACTTGGTGCCTGGAGCCGACATGTTGTGCCCAAGATCGCGAATCAAGAAACCACCGAGGAGCTGACACCGATGCAAACACACGAGGGTTTATTACAAGCTCGAGCTTGGGTCCAAGGGTACCCGACACAGTGGAGCAGGGACTTGGACCCCGAGACTAAGCGGGGTAGCAGCTTTCTAGGGGCCACTGGCCCATGGGATACGCAGAAAGTTGCACAGTCATGTCGGTCCACACGCAGGTGGCCGATTGAATGACACCTTAGCCTCTAGTATCCACTTGAGCTGGCCTAGTACTGCGGTCAGAATCGGCGCGCAGTTTTGGCGGGCACGAAGCAGGGTTACACTGTTACAAGCCGACTTCTGGTAAGGGTGTGCCCAGCGGCTTGACTAGGGTGGGGCAGTGCCTTAAGCAATAAGCAGGTCATGTGGGGGTGATACGGGAGGTGGCAGGTGCAGCACAAAATGGAGTTAGTCCTGCTCTGCTTGTCCAGGGGTAGGGGATTTTTGTTAAATTTCCTGGGCCCCACAGACAGTGGCGGCTTGCTACAGTGACAGCTAAGTGCAGGGCAGGGGTCATGAGGCATTCTCTTTTCTGGTCACTCTTGGGATGTTTTAAAAGTCAAAGAATCATTTTATGTTTAGAAATGTCAACACCCTATAGTCGAGGCCTGATGTGGACATGAGCCCTCTCCCCAGGCACAAGCAGGCATGATGCTGGGGAGGGGGCAGCCGGACCTCTAGCACCTCTCGGGCCTTCCAGGCTTGCACAACAGGTTGCCCAGGGGTTCCCATGCTTGCTGGTCTTGGCAGATCTGGCCTGGGGGCCTTTGCACTTGCTGCCCCTTGGTGGAGCACTTGAGATGGCTCCGTTTCATGCTCCAGGCCTCCTCAGGGAGGCCCTCCATCACACCCACCTAAAGAAAGAAGCCAGCCCCTCCATCTCAGAGCAAGCAGGGCCCTTGCCCACCAGGCTTCCTGGGTCTTGTATGAAATGGTCACAATCATAGCTCCACGTCTGCCTAGGATGCAGGCCAGGGACAGCAGGCACACGGCTCCTTGGCAAATGTGTGCTGGACTAATCATGTTCATTTGGAGACACATGAAGCAAATCACAGGGCAAGCTCCCTGACCCCTCTGATTAGGACAGCAGGCTTTCTGTCTCTGCTCTTCTATCCTTGGCAGAATGAGCCCTTTCCAGAAGCCTCGTCTCCCAGAACACGTGCACGGCTCACACGCAAAGTGCCGCTGGCTCCGTGGCCCCGTGGCTCCACGGTGCTGTTGAGCAGCCCCAGAGGCCCCTGTGCATATCTGAGGCCCAGAGCTGTGGGCTCTATTCCTGAGGACCAGGGTGTGTGGTAGGTGTCACTCAGCCTGTGGTTTACCCTCTGTCTCCTTTCCGGGTGAGGGGGGTAGTAGGAGGGCCAGACACAACCCCACGTGCCTGCTCCAAGAAGACAGCTGAGGCCCCCAAGGGCACATGGGGTCACAGGAGAGGAATCGGGTGCTAGGGGTGCAGCCCTGGGCAGGACCTGGGCCCGGCCACTCCCACCACCTTCTCTGGGGAGCCCTCAGTCCTGACCCCGAGGGTGGCAGTGGAGGAGGTCAGATCTGCGAGAGGGACCTGTTTGGGTGGGGCCATCTTCCTCCAGAGCCACTGCATTCCTGCACGGTTGGGTGCTCACGGAACCCCCTGACTATGGGGAAGTCCCCAGGGGGAGCCAGGCCCTATGTCCCCATCTTCAGGTCGAGGACCACCCAGGTGCTGATGCCCAAGAGAGGCCGTGGCCCTGCTCTCCTTTGGGGACCTGGGACGCCCCCACCGCCTCCCTGTGCATGGGAGGAATAGGTGGGCAGGCAGACCACTGTCCTGGCCCTCTGGGTCAGGGAGATAGGCGGGGAACACCCCTACCACGGGTGGAAGGGTAGGATTACAGCAGGTGGTGCAGTCGTGCAGACTGCTTCTCTGAGAACTTAACTCACGGTTTTTAAACCCAGCTTTAATCGCATCTTTTATTATTTTTTAAAGATTTTATTCATGAGAGACACACAGAGAGAGAAGCAGGCTCCATGCAGGGAGCCTGACGTGGCACTCGATCCCAGGTCTCCAGGATCAGGCCCTGTGCTAGAGGTGGCGCTAAACCACTGAGCCACTGGGGCTGCCCTAATCGCATCTTTTAAAACAATGTATGTGCTGCTTCAGTCATTACTGCAAAAGCAGAAGCCCCGATTCAGCCATGACCCTGATTGGTAGTTCCTGGCTGTGTTGAAATCCCTCATGGCAGCCCAGCAGGCCTTGTCCGCACGCACAGAAATGGAAAGCACCTGACTGTGTTGTGCCCAAGATTGCGAATCCGAGAAACCACCAAGGAGCTGACAACGATGCAAGCGCATGAGGGTTTATTTGCAAGCTCGAGCTTGGGTCCAAGTATACCCAATGCAGCGGAGCAGGGACTTGGACCCCAAGGCTAAGAGGTGTAGCAGTTTTATAGGGGCCAGTGGCCAATGAGATTGTAACACACACAGAAGATTGCATAGTCATGTCGGTCCACATGCAAGTGGCCAATTGAATTACAATTTACCCTATCGTGACCGTTTGAACTAGCCTATCACTCTGGTCAGAATTGGCAGGCAGGTAAGGGATCCCTGGGTGGCGCAGCAGTTTAGAATTGGCAGGCAGGTTTGGAGGGCAAAAGGTGGGGTTTACATTCTTTGGCGGTTAGGGGTTCCGCATTCCTATATGAGCAGGTTTCCGGTAACGGTGTGCTCAGCGGCTTGGCTAGGGTGGGGGAGCGCCCTAGTTAGTCCTGCTCTGCTTGTCCAGGAGTAGGGGATTTTTGTTAAATTCCTTGGGTCCCACAACTGGTCTTCTGGAAACCTCAGTGAAGGGAACATGGAAAGATGCCAGGATGCAACGGGCAGCGTCAGCCAGGTGCAGCTGCGTGCTGGCCCACTGAAGACCAGGTCTTGCCATCCAGGCCCCTCAGACCCCGGCCCTTCCCAATGAGGCTCACTTGGCACCGTCTGCTGGGCCCTGCCCCCAGGGTGGCCCTATGACCCAGACAGGTCACCCTGTCACTGTCTGTGAGAAGCATCCAGGTTCTGGGCACACTTGGACCCAAAAGTGAACAAATAAGTCAAGTCCTGCTCTTCACATTCTCAGTGAATGAAGTGGGTTGTGTGG